TAGCCGAAGGAGTAGGATGTTTATGCTTCCTCATTGCTGATGTTGACTCTGGACATAGTTCACATCCATAAAAAGTTTTTTTGGTTAAATCGCGTGAAAATATAAATGTGTCATTAAAACCCGCCACCACCCGACACAGCCAACTCGTAAGGGTTGTCACGTAAACAGAACGTGGCCAATTCGTCACTAGTACAGCACACCGGTGTGGTTGGAGAGCCAACGATACGTTAATATATTTACGCGATCTAACCCAAAAACCTCTATTATGTATGATATTGGTCGCGAAAGCCTACGTGTTAAATAGTTCACTTTACAAACCAGGTTACATTACCACTCATGTGTGTTACTCATTAAATAGCACTCACTAGTTCTCATACAGAGCCACAGGACAGAAAATAGAGTCCTCTAGATTAACTTATGTACACCGGCATATTCGGTTAGATGCAGCTGGTAAGAATTGCTTTGTCAAGATCGAATCCGGTTTTGCCTACAACACGGTATGCACCTTGCCTTGTACAAAATGCAAATAACTCAGTGAGCCCAAGGTAAACGCAAACCTTTGCTTGGGATAAGCTCCATTAAAATTAATGTGCTACGTACACAAGGAAGTAGAGAATGGCGGCGCTGATCATGTTAACAGGTTACTCATTGCAAGTGATGGAGTAAGGGCGTTTTTGAAGTGTAACCTTTTCACAAATGCAAAAAAATTAACCCATAAAAACAAAGTTTTTCACTATAAATCCTTTATATGCGTGGCGGCTAGAGTCCTCTCGTCCTCTGGCTTGAGATGGTTGCCACCTATGGGTCAGATGATTGCCTGCCACCATTAAGCAATTGGTAATTAAATATAATATTTTTTTTTTTTTAAAGTGTAAAGTTATGGAAAAAAAAATTCACGTAAATAAATTGTCACGCACAACGAGTCTGTGTACAAAATGTCAGCTCGATTGGATCACGGGGAGTGGGTTAAAAAACGACCGAAAGATTTGCACGGTCGTTAGCGCACAAGCAAGCAAGCAAGTGAACTTAATATAAAGGATTTACAAAGAGCTTTGCTTGCAACAGCAAATGCCTCTATCGTGTCAGTACAGTACGTGTACATGGTAAATAACGGTGATTTTTGCTACCATTTACCACCGAGATCATGTTTTGGTAACTTTTTTAATGTGTAAATAATATGCGGTTGAAAGAGCACCACATAATTTTGCATGAAGTGTGATACAACGCAATTTCATTTGACAATATAGTGCAGTACTGAACTGCAGTGAATTGTTGTACAACAAAGTGATGTCTTTTGTCAATAGTACAGGGCAGTTTAATATGGTCCAGCAATAGCCATGTACTCATTATTAACCTCCAAACTATACATATGTGTTCTCCTTGGTTGTTTCGGTAAAGTCACGTAGGTAGAAAAATAAAATTAAACAAAAAATAATATACCACGACGTTTCGATCGCAACACAAGCGGTCGTCCGCAGGCGGAAAAAATAATCCAGTTCCACTAGATTCCTGCAGTCACGAAAGCTTCAAATCAAGATATATATGTGGTTTACAGGGTTGGCATTAACAAGCAATGCCACTGAGTTTGATTTCCGGCCGAGGTGTTGAGATCAGTGAAGATTGATATTAGGTCTTGAATACTGGCATGGCTAAAAATAATCATCATAAATTATAACGATAATAATGTCTATAGAAGCTCTCCACATTGTGTGTTCACTGCAGGGATTATTAAAGGAGAGGCTTCTTTTGTCGGAGTCACCTGTACAAACATTCGTATTTTTTCTTGGTTCTTTCGGTAAAGTCACGTAGAAGGGAAATAATAAAATAATAAAAATAAAACATAATAAAATACAATTCTCACGACGTTTCGGCTACAACGCAAGCAGCCGTCCTCAGGTGAAAAACAGGTCTGTCGGAAAGACTTCGTCTGAATCACCTGAGGACGGCTGCTTGCGTTGTGGCCGAAACGTCGTGATAATTGTATTTGATTATGTTTTATTTTTATTATTTTATTAATTCCCTTCTACGTGACTTTACCGAAAGAACCAAGAATATGAATCCCTGCAGTCACGAAAGCTTTAAATTGAAATGTCTTCGTATTTTGTTTTGACAACAAAAATTACAGCCGGGTGTCAATGCTATCAAAAAGTGGCCATTCAGAAGAGTGCAAGGGCACGTTGTGTTTTTTTTCCCTGCATGCACCAGCAGCTGTCTCTCGAGTTCGCCACCACAACAACAAAAAGCTGGGACATATCATCGGGAAGAATGAGAACTTAGGCCGTAATATTCAAATATGCTCAAAATGTCCCACCCAATATATTGCTATTAAATAGATTTCTGATAATTGGTTCTTTACCCTTCTATCTGGCAACAAAACTGACACCTTTTTGCAAGGAGTCATGTTTGCATAGACCGCAATACCTGCAGTCATAAATACAAACAAAAGACATAACTCTGATAATGTGCACTGTCCTTGAAGTTGATTGGTCCACACCCGAGACAGCTTTCCTTCGAGCCTAGTCTCATATGGGTTGGACCAGATGACGCCAAAAGGCGCACAACTCAAGGACAATGCACCATCAGAGTATGAGAGCTCGGGGCAAGCATCTACACTATGGGGACCTCATTTGCCAGTAAAAATATGATAATTGGTTCTTTACCCTTCTATCTGGCAACAAAACTGACACCTTTTTGCAAGGAGTCATGTTTGCATAGACCGCAATACCTGCAGTCATAAATACAAACAAAAGACATAACTCTGATAATGTGCACTGTCCTTGAAGTTGATTGGTCCACACCCGAGACAGCTTTCCTTCGAGCCTAGTCCAACCCATGAGACTAGGCTCGAAGGAAAGCTGTCTCGGGTGTGGACCAATCAACTTCAAGGACAGTGCACATTATCAGAGTTATGTCTTTTGTTTGTATTTATGACTGCAGGTATTGCGGTCTATGCAAACATGACTCCTTGCAAAAAGGTGTCAGTTTTGTTGCCAGATAGAAGGGTAAAGAACCAATTATCATATTTTTACTGGCAAATGAGGTCCCCATAGTGTAGATGCTTGCCCCGAGCTCTCATACTCTGATGGTGCATTGTCCTTGAGTTGTGCGCCTTTTGGCGTCATCTGGTCCAACCCATATGAGACTAGGCTCGAAGGAAAGCTGTCTCGGGTGTGGACCAATCAACTTCAAGGACAGTGCACATTATCAGAGTTATGTCTTTTGTTTGTATTTATGACTGCAGGTATTGCGGTCTATGCAAACATGACTCCTTGCAAAAAGGTGTCAGTTTTGTTGCCAGATAGAAGGGTAAAGAACCAATTATCATATTTTTACTGGCAAATGAGGTCCCCATAGTGTAAATAGATTTCTGTTTATATAATTGTGGTTATGGTTGTACTTTATTAATCCCTAATATCTGCAATTACATACAATGAAACAAGAAAAGGTAAAAAAAACAGAGCAATGTAATACAATTCTAGATTTGAAGCTTTCGTGACTGCAAGGATTCATACTCTTAGTTTTTTCGGTAAAGTCACGTAGGTAAAAAAATTTAATTACAATTAATACAAAAAAATTAATTTCATTTCTTTACCTACGTCACTTTACCGAAAAAACTAAGAGAATGTAATACAATACAATACACTATAAATAAATAAAAAGTCCATCCTATGTGTTAGTGATTTTTTTTTACATTTTAGGCAGGAAATTCTTTTCAAATTGAGATTTTTTTTTTTCTGGGTTGGGACCCCCAGACCCCCTGGAAGATTTGGTCCCCCCCCCAATGTTGACTCCATGGCTACAGCCTTGACTCAGAAGAAGGGAGAACTGCCCTGAATTAAATCGTCTTGAGTGGTGTGTGCTATTAAGCAAATGACAAAAAACCGAGACCTATAACGTCACGAGACTACCAGTAGATCATGTACACACCAATACGCGACTTTCACCTATTAGTAAAATTCATGGCCGTGTATATTTTTCTATAACCCCTCAACCCACCAGTCATAAAAGGCTGGAGTTGAGACAAATTGTCTCGTGACAAAAAAATCTGCGTAATCATGCTGCGTGGAGGGGTCTGTGGCCATGCGGATAGGATGCGAGGTTGTTAATCGGATTAAACATTTCGGGTTCTAATAACGATCACTTTGGCGAGAGCGTCTCTCTGCATATACACAAGTTGCAACCTTCGAAAAACAAATGATTTCCTGCACGGTACAATAATACGACGATTAAAAAAAGCCGCGTGTGAACACGGCATAATTTGTACTGCTATTATTGGTATTATTCAGCCGTATACCCCGCTATCCAGAATGCATTTTTCGAGGAGAGCAAACATCCATTTGTCCTCCCGTTTTCCCCCTGTGCTCCCAGCTCCTCCCCCCAGCATGGGCATCGTTCCCTCTTCCCTACACCCCTGATATCAGCTGCCCAGGGGGGGGGGGGGGGTGTGGGACACAGGACTTATAAGTCACATATTTATATACCGTACAGGACAAGTACTTTCCGGAACGCTGCTCGGCTGACTTGAGGAGTACACGCGGACGCCTATCCACAATCGTTCCATGTTTATCGTTCCTGAAGCCCTCTCGTGGGCTAGAAGACCTCAGACATTGGTCATTCAGCTCCTGAATACATTGCTGCTGCTGCATCATGTACGAGTTAAAAACAAACAGCGCATCGTTGCGCGCGTGTCCGATATTCCCACCGCCCGCATCGGTGAGGACAGGTGAAGGCGGCAGCTTTGCGCGCGCGGGGCTTGTCCCTCCCCAGCACACACCACAATACACAACAACACCAACAACACAACAAAAACAACAACAACAAAACCCTTGTTGCGTTCCTCCACGCACCGTGGCGGTGCGCAAAAAGGAGGAGCAGCAAAAGTTGGCGAGCGAGACAAGTCACGACCACAGAGGAGGGGAAAAGGTGTCGAGGAGGAGGAGGAGGAGAAGGAGGCGGCATTGTGTGTGTGTGTGTGGTTGTTGCTTTGTGAAGCGACTCACGGCTCGGCGTTGAGGCTCTGAAACTCGGCGACATAGTTGGCCGGGATGTATCCCCGGGTGTTGCTGCGGGCGTTACTGGTGCTCGCCGTCTTCTTCTGCGCGTACCACCAGTCCGGGTTCGTCTTGTCCGTCACCTCGAGGAGTTCGCCCTCCTTGAAGCTCAGATCCTCGTTTGTTCGTCCGTCGTAGTCGTAGAGGGCCACGTAGAGAGGCAGCGGCTTGAACGTCGGATTGTTATGTGTAGTTATCGGCGGTAGTGGGGCTGTACTCGACAATTGAGTTGGACGACGGAAGTCAGTATCATCACTTCTCGGGGCCGGGGGACAACACATTTTCCAGAGGCATTCGCAGCAAGGGCAGCACGATCTTAAGCACGTCCCCATGGTGTTCGTCTAGCAGGTCCTTCGCCGTTCTTCTTCGAAGATTGTACGAGGCTATTAAAACAACAACAACAACCTAAAACGACAGCAGCAATCGGCTACCCACACAACTTCACCCTTTCGCACGAATCGTCATTATCTCAACTACACACAGCTGGCTCTCCCTCTCTCAAGACGTGGGTGGGTATGGGGGGGGGGAGCCATGATGCCAAACTTTTCAAAGTAAGCGAAAATTGCTTTTTTGTTCGTAGTCGTTTGCTCGCGGTGTTTAAGCGAACGCGCGAGTCGCCGGCCGCGTTGACAAGCTCCCCGCAGCTTTGCCGAGAAAGCCGGGACGACCCCTTCTTCGCTCGTGTCGCGAAACCCGCCGGCGCTCGATCAGGAAGGAGGAAGTTGCGCGCGTGGAATCCGGCTCGACCGGACGGGCGCGACCTTCTTCGTTATTATTAGAAGCTTTCCTTTGCCAGAGTCGCGTGCATGCGAGACAGCTCTCGCCCAGGTAGGTAGGTAGGTAGGTGGGAGGTGGGTGGGGGTGGTGAGCGGCTTTGCTAGGCGCTTCACCCGTCCTTCGCTATATCACGTAGGCGATAAGCCTTTTTTCTTGCGTACGCGTTTCCTCGTTCTCTGCATTGCCCAAGCGCTCACGTTACCTGGGCCATCCAGGTGAAGCTGGATTCGTATCTACACACAAACTGCGCCCCCCCCTCACACATCACCCCACCTCAAAGGTGTCCCGTGTAGCCTTAACAAGTGTTGTTAGCGAGCACTTATGAAGGCCGGTACTGCACACGGGGGGGTGGGTGGAAAAGACCACGCCCGACCGCCTTTGTCTTCCCGGCCGGCGATATTTACACACCGCACTCAGGTACTTATTTGAGGCTGAGTCGACCTAGGGGATGCCCAGGAACGGTGACGATAATCGTCACTGTGAGCGGGAATCGAACTCGGGTCATCGGGCTCGTAGCGCAGCGCGCTAACCTCACGCTATTTCTAGTGTAAAAACTGGTATTGACCAATCATCCCGATGCTACGTTGAAAAAAAGAGCTTAGATTACTGCCCCCACCATCAGCAATCCCTTCTCTCCACGCTCGCTCTCTGGGTTTCATCCTTGCTCTGCATGCGTCGGTGAACGTTTCGTGACCAAAGGCGAAATTTTGGGAGTGATTAAGCCAAAGGGATGGGTGGGATTGGCACCACACGAAATATTTGGCAAATGATAGAGAGAAAAAATTAACCCGTGAAAACTAAGTTTTTCACTATAAATCCTTTATATGCGTGGCGGCTAGAGTCCTCCCGTCTTCTGGCTTGAGATGGCTGCCACCTATGGGTCAGATGATTGCCTGCCACCATTAAGCAATTGGTAATTAAATATAAAAAAAAATCCTAAAAAGTGTAAAGTTATGGAAAATAATTTGCACGAAAATAAATTGTCACGCACAACGAGTCTGTGTGCAAAATGTCAGCTCGATTGGATGACGGGAAGTGGGTTAACAAACGACCGAAAGATTTGCACGGTCGTAAGCGCGCAAGCAAGCAAGTGAACTTAATATAAAGTATTTAAAAAGATGTGCAGCCATGAAATGTCTTGCCTCACGTCACTGTTAGCAGAAGAGCCTGCACTCGAAGGAGCTCAACAGAGACTGTCCGTGAGATATTTTGGCAAACTCTGCATCAATGATGTGGACTTTGACCATAATTGACACCTAGGTAACTAATAATATTTAATTAGCGTAATTATTACGTTTGTTATATTAACGCAAAGCCTGACTGGGTTTCGAAACTCTTTTTTTTGCCAAGAGTTTAAAAGTAGGGGGTGGTGTTGCTTTGTGTAATCCGAATTGAGTAATTTACAGATAATCTTCTTGGTTCTTTCGGTAAAGTCACGTAGAAGGAAAATAATACAAATAAAACATAGTAAAATAATTCTCACGACGTTTCGGCCACAATGCAAGCAGCCGTCTTCAGGTGGAGAACAGGTATTTTATTATTTTCCTTCTACGTGACTTTACCGAAAGAACCAAGAAGATGAATCCCTGCAGTCACAAAAGCTTTAAATCGAAATTTTCAGATCAGTTTATTTCGGCTAAGGCCCATTGAGCTACGCTCTTTTTCACCGTAGCATCGGGAATTTTGGCCAATACCAGTTTTTACAATTTTCTGTTGTTAGCCACGTGAGAAAAGTAGAGAACCCGGAGAAAAACCATGCAGAACAGGAATAAATCATACAGACTTCGCATGCAGAAAGATGCAGGAGTCGGGAATGGAGCCCATCAGCTTATGGCTGTGACAACCTGCTGCCCTTTGTAATGATGATGCTTTGCGTAAAATGTATTCACGTTCCTTAGGAGTGGGCAGGTAGGAACGTGGTTGGACAGCGCATTCGTGCGCGACAGAAAGCTCGCGGTCACGTGACGCACTTCAACCAATCCGGGAGCGTACACGTTTGGGAGGGGCTATGCACGACAGACAAATAATCCCTGGTGGGCAGTGTGGAATCTGTTGTTCCTACCTGTAAAAGTACGGTAGTCTCTGGTGTTTGTTTTAATTGTTTGACTTCTTGGCTTGACACGTCCGTGAGATGCCTTGTCGTGTTTAAAATTGCGTTAAGTATCATTCTAAACACAAATACGTGTCATTCCTATAATAAATAATTCGCCTCCCGTGGAATGCCATGGCTAAATAACCAAAATCCAACTGGATCGGAGCACGTATGAACGGATGTAAACGGATTGCACCATACATACAAACATACATACTGTACAGAAATGTAAAACACGCACATGGGCATATCATTTAATTGTTTAAAACGATGCAAAGATCGGGGTTTTTCGGGAACGGACCGCATTTGATATTTGCATGTAATTGCAATTGCATGTTTTTGGAAGGTGGCATACTTGTATACATTTCGTGACGTGCTTTTAAATAAAGTAGGAAATTACGACTGATGAATAAAAACATTAATAACGGCGTGTATAAATCTCGGCCATGTGTATGGGTCAATGGATTAGTTCAGCCGCCAAATAATAATTATTAAAACAACTCGTGGGGATCCTGTTTCTCTCCAACGGAAAATAATCGACGGCTGTCATTAAATCCTTTATATTAAGTTCACTTGCTTGCTTGCTTGCGCGCTTACGACCGTGCAAATCTTTCAGTCGTTTTTTAACCCACTTCCCGTGATCCAATCGAGCTGAAATTTTGTACACAGACTCGTTGTGCGTGACAATTTATTTTCGTGAAAATTTTTTTTCCAAAATTTTACACTTTTTAGGAAAAAATAAATTATATTTAATTACCAATTGCTTAATGGTGACAGGCAATCATCTGACCCATAGGTGGCAGCCATCTCAAGCCAGAGGACGAAAGGACTCTAGCCGCCACGCATATAAAGGATTTATAGTGAAAAACTTTGTTTTTACGGGTTAATTTTTTCATAACCGTCTCACAAATCCTGCACTCGGAGCACTGAAAGTAATCCGTAGAATTCCAAAACAATATGTATCGTATTTTTTGTATTACATTCTATAGAGTGTAAATAATCTGGGCGAAAAGAATCGTAATTATAGAAGCACACATTTGAAAAGTTAGAGCTGTTTTAAATTAACCGTGTGAGTTTTCTGTATTTATCACTTCCACCGCTCCTTCTGCGTTGCTATCTTGCGAACTTCTTCCACCGATTTGGCAGCAGCAGTCCACAGGAGCCACTAAAAACAGCAGAGTTTTTGTTTGGTTGGAAAGGAGTCCAGCCAGGATCCAGGCAGGAAACTCGAGGCATAGATTATTTTTTTTATCGTATTTTCATTCATTTTGTTATGAAGAACCCCACACAATAGACATCCCACTCCAACGAGCTTTAGAACACAGGCCACGCAATTTGTAAACCTACCTGGGCCTGCACAGTAAGTCCACACACACAATAGGTGTTCACTCTTTTCCTCTTAATATCAACCGGAGAACAATAAGCGTTACGTTTAACACAATTCCACCATCCCACGACTGCAAAACTAGATACATGCAATGCGGCCGTACCGTTTATCCTATCGAAACAAAAATCACCATCAGCCATGGGCAATCAACTGCTGTATGAAGTCCTCCCAACGCCACCGTCACCTCTCACGATGTTGCGATGTAACAATCGACCGATTCATCTTCTTGGTTCTTTCGGTAAAGTCACGTATAATGGAAATAATAAAATAATAAAAATAAAACATAAAATAATTCTCACGACGTTTCGGTCACAACGCAAGCAGCCGTCCTCAGGTGGAGAGCAGGTCTGTAGAGAAGACAGAGTCTGAATGACACACTCCAGGCTTGGAGCGACTATTTAAGCTGGGATGGAGGGGGGAAGGGCGCCTTGACAACATAATTTGCATATCAATAGTAATTTAACATATTTATGGGAAATGCAGTGATGCAATTAGTACTACTTGTGAAATGCGTTGTGGCCGAAACGTCGTGAGAATTATTTTATTATGTTTTATTTTTATTATTGTATTATTTCCATTCTACGTGACTTTACCGAAAGAACCAAGAAGATGAATCCCTGCAGTCACGAAAGCTTTACATCGACCGATTAATTATCTGCGAAACAAAATGGCAAACAAAAACAATCGATTGCATTTAATCGTAAGGTACGTTATTCAGGTAAGGTAACACAAAAATAAAAGTGTCACCATTTTCGAGGGATTAATCTTTGTAGCCGAAACGTCGTGAGAATTATTTTATTATGTTTTATTTTTATTATTTTATTATTTTCCTTCTACGTGACTTTACCGAAAGAACCAAGAAGATGAATCCCTGCAGTCACGAAAGCTATAAATCGAAAAATTGACGAACTTGTTGAGTTTGTTGCGAAACTGAAGTGGGGGTGGGTGGGTGGGGGGATATTAGCTCAGTCCATCTTGAACCCGGAACCTGACGTTCCAACTCTTATAGTCAAACATCCCCAGAAAACCGACAAAAGTCTACCTAACGCTCTGTGCAGTTGTTAAAGTGTCTGGACAGATTTGTAAAGGCCTGTAAATTATTTACTTGTTGTTTTACTGTAACCTGTTGCTCTATAAAACTGGTTCGGTGAGATAATAGTCAAATTCGCTTAATTCAGGCCTTGACATTCATATCCCACAGGCATGCGGTGTGCGTCAAGCGTGAGAGCATTCCCACATGTTCTGACCAGCTACGACGGTTCGGCCAAATGAATTCTTCTTCGAGGAGCTCAGTGGCGTGAGATACAAATTGAAGGGCTGCACTTTTACCGTTTAGGGGCCGTCCATAAATGACGTCACGCACCTTGAGGGGGGGGGGTCAGATATTTGTGACGAGGGGGGGTGGGCTTTTTGAGAAATGTGACGTCACATCAAAATGCGCAACTTTAAACAAATGTAGACAACACGTTCTACTTAATTAAATAGACTTTTTTTTTAATAAATGTTTTCTCCTACAACATCAGAGTTTAGCGCCACATTAAATACGCACTACAATGACAATAGTTTAAAGCGATTTGAAACATACT